AAAAAAAAAACTCTAAAAAAAAAAATGGTTTTGTCTATTTCTCTTCAGATCAACATCTCAAGAGCAAGAGTTGGGAAGCAGTTTAGCTTCTCTTTTGCACATTATGTAACCCTCTTGGCCTTCTACCACTTTCCCCATCTTTCCAGCCCTTTCACAGAGCACCCCAAATCTAACACCTTGTTTGGCTGTAGAGAGAATTACCAAGGAGGAGAAACATGCAAATGCCGTGACGTTTTCTGCTCCATGAATGTTGTCAGGCAAGATCGTCTAGCTGATGCAGCCAGCTCCTCAGATTCCTATGCTCCCAGCTGCCTCTGACACTTTTGTCCACAAGAGTCATTATGACTGAGGCCAGCACTCCCACTGGATGCCCAATAAGCTCCTAGGTTATTTCTGCCATGGCAGGACCTTCAGGTGGCTGCACTACTTCCTTGCAGGTGTTGAGCTGTGGTAGCAGTTGACCATTCTGAAGTTCTCAAAGAAGAAACATTGAGACCAGCAGATGGCATAATGGTTACATCTCTGGACTCCCACATGGCCTACCACAGTTCAAGTCCCAGACCCAGAGGCTTGAAACTCGGGCTGGGAGTGTGTGTATGCGTGCCCAAAATCCTGAGAGAAGGGATTGTGGCATGGCTATCCCCTCGGTGGCGGGGGATGGGGGGTGGGTTGATTTTTCACTTCCTGTCTCTCTGGAGAGAACACGTGTCCTATAGCAAAAAATTGCCAAAAAAAAAAAAATTTTACTCCCTTCAGAAAATGAATAGGCATCACCCCTGAGCTTCTCTAAATCTTTGACCTATCCTAAGTCAAACCAGTTCTTCCAGAGTTCTCTGGGTCATTGGTGTTTTCTTTACAGGAGAGGAGGAAGTTGTCACAGTGTGCCTTTAGCCCAGCTGCCTCCTGTTCCCGTGCCCCCCGTCCCCCCGTTTGTTTACAGCACAGTGGTCAAGGTGGGGTGAACCCCCTTCCTCTCCGCAACAGCGTTCTAATGAGTGTGTGTGCACATGGCAACTCTCGTGTCTCATGGCACTTGTTTAAGCAGGATTAGGGCCCACCCAGCCCAGGGCCCACCCAGCCCCTGTCTTTACAGTAACAGCTGTAACTGCCTTTTATGTTAACCAGAGATTTTTATCTGTGTTTTCTCTTGAAGCATCAACGACAACTTTCTTTGCCGCTGCCCCAGTCTAAGTCATCTCCCAAAAGAGGATTTTTCAGGGAAGAAACAGATCATTTAATTAAGAACCTTCTGGGCAAGAGAATTAGTAAACTTATTAATTCTTCTGATGAGCTGCAAGACACCTTTCGGGAGTTCTATGACAGCTGGCACAGCAAGCCTACTGACTACCATGGCTTGTTGTTGCCTCACATAGAGGGGCCCGAGATCAGAGTCTGGGCCCAGCGCTACCTGCGTTGGATTCCAGAAGCCCAAATCCTAGGCGGTGGCAGAGTGGCCACCATGAGCAAACTCTTGGAAATGATGGAGGAAGTCCAGAGCTTACAAGAGAAAATCGACGAGAGACACCACACCCAGGAGGCCCTCCAGGCGGAGGCTCCCTGCCTGCTGAGGAACTCTGCCCGCCTGTCCTCCTTGTTTCCTTTTGCTTTGCTGCAGCGACATTCCTCTAAGCCCGTGTTACCCACCAGCGGCTGGAAAGCTTTGGGAGATGAAGAAGATTTGGCCAAACGAGAAGATGAGTTTGTGGATCTGGGAGACGTGTGACTTGCATACCGAATGGTCGTGAAGGAGAGATGCGGGAGGTCGAGACAGTTAATTCCTGGATCAGTGTCACACTGCAGCTGACGCAGGGAGCTCACTAGCCCCGGGCCCTGTCGGAGTAAACCTGGGCCTTCAGGAAAGGAGCTGGCTCCTGGTTTGTTTCGTGGTTCTGGAAGACTATGCAATTACAACCGTATCTCTAGTGTTACTAATGGGAGGGAGTTACCGCGTGACCTGTCATAGGGCCGTGGCTGTTTTCTGATGCCTCAGTATTACACAGAACCTGCAGCGGTGGTTTACTACTAAAAAGGGCTTTTGTGAATACTCCTGCACTTGAGTCTTTAGATCTTTTTTTGTGCCAAGGTAATAAATCCAGTCATTGGGAATAGTAGGTTTCTCTCTAACCATGTCCGTCAGGAGCAGTTTGGCTGTATGTGATATTAGTGTGGTGAATTGGGAGCTTCAGATGGCGGTATTAAGATGTATGGCATTTACTTAACCATAGCGTTTTTTCTTTCTCCATCTTCTTGCCTGTAGAAAAGCGGGAAAGTTCCACCGGGGTAACTTATCCTAAGGCTTCAGGCCATCCTCCCGCCTTCCTAGGCTGTCCCCCGGAGGGCTAGGAGGGCTAGCCGACAGTCTGCCCTCTCCGGAGCAGACAGCCCCAGGCCTCTCCTCCGGCTACTCCTTACCACTCACCACCGTCCCTCCCACACCCACTTGGTGCACACAGTCCCAGTGTCTTGCTGCTAAACCTGTTGGGTAAAGTAGGGGAATCTCTTTGTTTGCCCAGAGCACCTTCCGTTCCTCTGGAGTCTCCATGTTGGGAACAAATTGCTTTGCCTTTCTCTGATCGCATGCCGAGGCCTCAGCATTTGCGATTGTGGTTCTCTGCAGCGGCGTCAGCCGATGTCCTGTAGTTCTCTGTTACCTTTGTAGACTGATGGGGTCGGGTCACTTTGGCATGTGTCTTTCATAGGAAAGCAAGTCAACAGAAGTATCACAAGTGACGATTATCATATAATACCTCAATGATTTTAAAAAGCCATAGCAGAAAACTCGGCCATGCCTGGTCACCGTCTTGGATCTGCTGTCCAAATATATATATTTTTTTAATGCAGGAAAGTATACTTTGTAAGGACCGTTTTTTTTCATTCTCAGTGGAACCCTGTCAAATCCCACAGAAGAAAGGAAAACGAAATTCACATTAGAATGTTTCACATTGAATATTTGCCTTTTATATACATTTGCTCCCAATTTGAATGTTACATGTTTAGAAAAACTTTTCAGTTGCTCAAGGGCAATAAGAAATTTCGAAACTGTTGACAAAGAAAGAGTTTCTAGGTTTGCACTGAATCGCCTTTTGTACTTAGAATAAATCTTTTTGGTGTTCTCTTTGCTCCATGTTAACACATTGGCCAACGTGGGCTGTTAAGATGACAGAGTTGGGGGGCAGGATTCACATATCTGGGGACCAAACACATGTTCCGTCTTGGTTGCCTTAAGAGTCTTACTAGTGAGGTCAGTGTTAGGCTTGCAGGTTTATTATTATTATTCTTATTATTGGTAGAGATTTTTGCCTTAGGGCGCGTGTGCTCGCTGGGGGGAGAGAAGGAGACCGTGAGAGGGAAAGTGAAAAGCCACCCCCTCCCTCCCGAGAGAATAGCCACACGCAACCCCTTCTCCTTCATTCTCCTCCCAGGATCTTGGCCACGCATGCACGCGGGCACGGTGTGAGTTTTAAGCCACCAGATCCAGGACTCAAACCACGGTCTGCCATATGGGAGTCCAGCGATGTAATCCCTATACCATCTGCTGGCGCCAGGCTTGCAGTTTTTACAATACACTAGTTCCTCAGCTACCTTCACATTTGTTCTTTGGGCCTTCTTACACTAGCACTAACCTCTATTTCCTTCTCTGCCCCCTTGTCTCCCAAATACACTA